CCCCCGCAGCCTCCCCCCCCCTTGGTGAGCAAGGTGAGATCACCTAGCTCATCTCACCCAACCAACCAACACAGATACTTTGCAGAGAATGGCGTGGTGGACGACATCCTGGGCATTAACGCTTACCAGTTGAACGGTTTGGTCAGTGATACGGACGGGCACGGGACGTACCTGTCGGGTTTGATTGGCGCGCTGACGAACAACGAGGTGGGCGTGGCAAGTGTGACAGGGGTGGGTACGACGGTGCCGTGTCGGTTGATAACGCGGCGTGCGGGAGCGGTGTCAAATTTTGTGAAGTGCATGGATTACGCAGTGCGGATGAACATCCCGGTCGTGCTGGCACCGTTCGGGACGCGGCAGCGACTGCCGGTATTGTCGCACGTGATGCAGGCGGCGGCTGCGCACAACGTTGTAACCGTGGCTTCGGTCGCTGGCGAAGTCTACGGCCGTCTGGAGTGGCCGGCACTCTACGCACTTGAGGGTCCCGAGTTCGGCACCTTCGCAGTTGCCGGTCTCACCACAGACGGTGGCCTCCTCGCACAGGTACCCAAGGCCGCACAAGGCGTGCTCGCCGTCCCCGGCGAAAACATCGTCGGACTGGGTATACATTCCTCCTACGGTATCGGATCCGGTAACGCCGCCGCCGCAGCCATCGTCGCTGCCTTCGTCAGCATGGCTCTCGCCCACCGCGAAACCACCTACGCAGAACTCCTTAACAAACTACAAAAAACACCCCCACCCTGGACAGGCACACCCAGCACAGGCACACCCGGCATAGGCGCCGACGTCATCAAGATCAACGCCATGACCTTCCTACAGTGACCTGTCTGCCTGTCTGCCTGCCTGTCTGCCTGTCTGCCTGTCTGCCTGCCTGCCTGCCTGCCTGCAGTGGCCTTGCAACCTGAGTCGAGTCGTGGGTCGCCTTGGTCTATGAATGTTGCCGCGTCTAGAGGCGGCCTCATACGTCTAGAGGCGGACTTGTATGGCCTCCTACGAAGTCGTTATTTCTTGAGTACTTCGACGTCTCGTTCAAGGTAGAGCCAGGTTTGTCCGTCATCGAGGTAGAACGCATCAGGGTCTCTAGTCAAGACGACATGTGGTCCAGCGGAGTGTCTATTGCGGGGTGTGGAAATATGTGTGGTGTCTTCTTCTTCTTGGTCTGGGTCGTCGTCTTCGCTGTCGCTGAAGACGAGGTGGCAGGTGAGATGTACATCTGCATCTAGAAGTCTGCGCCATTTGGAGGGGAAGCAGCGTACAGTGACATGTGCGTAGAAGAGGAAGCCGAGGGAGATGATGCCGATGGAAACGCATTGGAGCCAGGAAAAGGTCTCGAAGCCGAAGAGGAGATCACAGAGCCAGAGTGGAACATTGCGTGCGGCGAGAACGGTAACGGTGAAGAGGGCGGAGCCGAGGCTGATTACGCCGAGAGCGAACGTGTTCACAACCCCGACGGCGAGCATGAAGAGCAGACAGACGGCAATGAGGGCGGGAGATGATCCTAGTTGGTAGAGAGCTTCGCTGATTTTTTCGGTACCGGTTGCATCGGCGATGGCCGAGGCAATTACTGACAACACAAGACTGACAATTCCTAACCAGCCAACACCCTCCACAGGTGACATACTGTTCTTGACCCACATACTTTCTTCCCAAACATAGAGCAATGCTGAGAATAAAACACCGCCCAATGCACACAACACACCCAACGTGGTATGTCGATGGTTCGAAGTCGCCAAACGGGTAGCCTCCACACTACCAACCGCCTGACCAAGAATAATCAAGCAAAGACCAACCCATGAAGTCACACGCAAGTCGCGTTTAAACCAAACTATACACAACAACGCCGTAACCAGTAACGTGCCACAACGAATCATGGCTACCGTATTGTTGTCCGTAAATTGGATACCATAGAAGAACAATACACTGCATAAACCGTCACAACATCCAGGCACGATCCAATGGTACCATTTCGCACGCGGCAAACTACGATCACCCAACATCTCGAACTCCAGATAACCGTACTCGCGATAATCACTACCAATCTCCTCCACTCGTAAACTCACCTCCGGCAAACCCACTTCTGCACCGCTCCGAGGACTGTGTCGAGGACTGTGTCGAGGACTGCTCTTCAGACTCCCCCCGGGTTCCCGCTTTCCGTGATCCCGTTTGTGATGTTCCTGCCTCACGTCACCATTATTTCTCGGACTACGGCTGTTCGGACTTCGGCTGTTCGGACTACGGCTGGTAGGACTTCGGCTGTTCGGACTACGGCTGGTAGGACTTCGGCTGTTCGGACTACGGCTGTTCGGACTACGGCTGCTCTTCCCGTCTGTCCAATTTGGGCCGACCGTGCGAACTTGAGAAGAGTTCAGGTTCCGCACAGATCGATGTTTCTTCGCACGCACACACCTCGTCGTAACGTACTTCTCCAGATGGTAGATGGGATAACACAGCACCTCTCCAAGACATTGAATAGCCTGAAGCGTGTTGTTGGCATCAAACGCCTTCGGCTCACACGTCTTACAAGGACGCGACTTGATAGCGGCCATCCAGTTGATCGTAAACAGACTCACAGTACCTGAACAAAATAAAATCAAACCAAAGTAGATCAACATTTTGATTGTCCTCCGACTTATCTGACCGTCCCCTTCTCCTTGACCGTCTTCATCATTCCCTTCATCCTGACCATTGTGAGCCGCCATCCGTCCAATGTCGTCTTCGTGAGAAAAGCTTGAATCGTTCATTTTCTTAATATTTGACGAACAAGGCAACCAGAAGCGACTAGTCACCCAACAGCACCATCAACGTCGCCTTCGTACGCACACCAATAGGCCTGCCTGCACCAAGGGAGAGTCCAAAAACAAGACTTTTGTGGCTACCTTTTGGGGATAGTTTTTATGACCGATCAAAGCCGAATAAGGAGATCATCGTTTGAGCTGTCATTATCTCTGCTATTGATTCCTGGGACGGCACCCGCACGCGTTTTCAGAGTTCGTCATCAAAGACGGCACCCGCACGCGTTTTCAGAGTTCGTCATCAAACCTTGTTCAGATGTGACACCAGCTATACTCCAACACATACACCACTGCCATTTACCGCCGCTTCAACCAAAACGGTTGCAGCCGTCGTCGTCAATGTCACTTCCGGAAGCTTGGCCCAGTCAATCCGTAGATTCCTACACCTAGCGCTGCTGTCCTTTTGGGGGTCCGCTGACGGTTGAATAACCACACTGCACAACGGATCGTCGGACAACCGATCGTCGGACAACCGATCATCGGACAACGATGCCCTCCAGATTCGCTTTGATGATTCTGTTGATACGCTTGTCATCTAACTGGCCACCATTACGCCTTTCATCAAGCAGAGCTCCACGCATCTGCGTCTGAGCCTTGAATAAAAGACGCGTTGCAAAACTCACAGCCCCGTCATCGGAAAATGATCCCCGTACGTATTCGACGCGATTGCGACGCTTCACGGTGTCGACCTCTTTGAGCGAAGCCTCCTGCTTCGAGGTCACCCGCACTGACGATGACTCAGACAACTCCTTCATCCGCACGAACGCCGCGTACGTATCGCAACCCTCCGCGTGGACCATGGCTAATCCGTGACCCTGTCGAACAAACAAAGCTCCTGTAAGAATAGTCAACGCTGACTCTCCTGCCTGCTGCAACCAGTTATCATCAAGGCTGATTTTAGTAGAAAAACTGGGACAGACTCTTTTGTGGTTGACTCGCCTGACTCCATAGTTAAGTCGTAGGCCGCCAGCTCTACAAGACGACTGACGCCGTGACTGGCGCCGTGAACTAACCACAGTGGGATTAACTACTCCGCTTTGTTAACGGTCGTCACCGGAATCATAGTCCGGTCGATCCGTATACAACTGAAATATGCAGCCGACTTGCTCTTGCTCGCGTGTCCGCTGACGCTGATGTGTGTAGTTATGTTGGCTCTCGGGATGATTCCTGGTGGCGCATTCTCATCATCATCTTGTTTAGTATTTTCTTCCACCATAGTGTGTTCGTCAGCGATGCTCTTTTCGTAACAGATTCTGTTGACACTAACGCCGTTCTTCACGCATCTACGTCTGAGCCTCCAAAATCTATTTGAGGAAGTCATTTATTCCAAGCCTAGGACAGTCTGTAGTTGTGTTGCCTGGAGTCAAACTTCTTCTGTTTGACTCCCCGTATGATTCCGGTCGTTTAAAACCAGCTTCCGTGACATCTAAATTTTCGTACAAACAAAAAGTGACGGATTACACGCTTTGCCCAAAACAACGGTTATCCAACAAATTTATTGGTCCCCGATCCCGTTCGGGCATTCGAACCCATCCCGTTTACATAAAGACCAATCGATGTTGCCGGCTTGCTGCGATAGGTGCGTTTCCACGATGAATATAAGGCTGTGCTCCGTACAGTCATGAGAACCACTTTGAGGACTGGGGAATGCGATGACACGCCAGGCTGCAAACTCCAAAAATTGGATCTGTCGCCAGGACACGCCAGGAATTGCAACGGGCGCAGCTCTGAGGAAATGGCTCTGAGGAAGTGGCTCTTCGGCCCCAATTGTTCGCTCAGGCACGTCGCTCAAAAACGCCCGACGCGACTGTGTGCCTCTGGAAGCCTGTCTGGAAGTCTGTATGCAGGAAGTACCGCTGCGGCCTGTGGGCTTACGGTCCGGTCCTTTACGGGCAAGGCGAATGGCGTAGGCTCCTGGACGCGGGCTGTGAAAGGCTATAACGGTCGATGGCGAGGGGCAATCCGGCGCTGAGGCAATGGTTAGCGAGGCTGCGGCATCGGCCGGTAGTGAGGTGCCGCGGTTTGGTACTAGCGAGGTGGGGATGAAAAAGCTAGCCGTTGGCGCCGAATTTTCCTTTTTATTTTCCTTGCGGCCGGCCAGAAATGCCTGTGCTTGCACTCCCTGCTATTCCTGCGTCCTATGGTGGCATTTACATCGGCAGTTACTCCACAATAGTGGGGCGACCTGTCTGCGAGACGGCAGGACGTGCTTTCTTCGAGGTTTACGAGCGCAAGCATTTGTTACCGTCACAGGGTTCGGTTGACTCTCCGGTCGCCCCGGATAGCAATTCGAGTGCGGCTGCGGAGGAGACGGAGGCCGAGCGGAAGCGGAAAAATTACCGAGAGAACAGTTCCATCGCGATGCGCGTGCGGCAGGCTCTGGAGGACCGGGCGGATTTGTACCAGTTGTGCTGTGTTTCTCCATATGCGAGTGCTGAGGACATCAAGAAACAGTTCCGGAAATTGGCCCTGATTTTCCATCCGGACAAGAGCGCCGGTGCTCCGTCAGTGAATGCCGATCAGGTGGGTATAGAAGGGTTACCTGACGTGTCCAAAATGACGGCCGACGACTTGCATGAGCATTTTCTCAAGGTGCATAACGCCTTCGAGATTCTCTCGGACCAGGCCATGCGCCGGCAGTACGACAGCCACTTGCCATTTGACGACAGATTACCTTCGGAGCTAGACATTTCCACGGCCCCCGATTTTTTCGGCATTTGCGGCCCCGCCTTCGATAAGGAGTCTCGCTGGTGCGTAGGTCAACCACCGGCCCTTGGAGACATGCAGACACCTTTGGAGGAGGTGAAGGAATTTTACAAGTTCTGGTCCAATTACGAGTCGTGGCGCGACTTCAGCAACGCAACTGAGTTCAACTTGGAAGAGGCGCAAGATAAGGAAGAAAAGAAGTGGATGCAGAAGGAGAACTGGAAGGTAGTTAAGGGCTTGCTCAAAGCCGAACGGCAGCGTGTATTAAAGTTCGTGACTACCGCTGAGGCGCAGGACCCACGTCTGAAGGAGGCCCGAGAGAAAGCTCGTGTTGCCAAGTTGGAAGCGTCCATGAAAAAAATGACGCCAGCTCAACGTGCGCGGCTCCAGGCCGAAGAGAAGGTCAAGGCGGCCCGCGCAAAGGCCAAGGCCCTACAGGACCAGAAGGCACTCATTATGAAGCGACGCACTATCCTAGTTGAGTCGAAGAAAACCATCCGGGTAGCCTACAACAAATGGATTGTGGAGAAGCAACAGAAATCCGATGATGTCGAAAACAAAGTGGAGCAACTTCTCGCCCTGGATGCACCCGACCAACTGGAGGAAATTGCCTTCAAGCTCAATAGCACTATCAAGTCGTTCAAGGAACCATGCGACGCTGGCGCTAGAGAGCTCAAAGAAATTCTGCTTGCCGCTCCACTTAACCCCTCCACCTAGCTTTACGGAATGCACGGACTGCGCGGGGCGCCCAACTGCGGCGTGCCCCGACCAGCCGTGGCTTCCAGGAAAAAATCGCGACTCATGCGGCTAACACGATCCCCTATCGCACGGTCCCCCGCGTCCAAGTCGTGCGGACGACAGTCCAGTTGTCGTGTATCCAGCTGTCGTGTTTCCAACCGCCGCGTGTCTTGTTCAAATTCTTCTGCCACACACAAAGGGCAAGGATGTGTGCCTTTAGGTGCCTTGGTTGAGGATAGGATAGCGTTCAAGTACGAGCTTCTTTGAGCGCGTAGTATTTCCGAATAGGCCGCCAAGTCGGTGGAGCGATCGATGTCAGTTGCGCTTTGAATTCGGAGAGTCGTTTTTGTGGATTGCTTTTTGGCTACGAGAATCGAAACCAGAATGAGCATGGACCTTCCTACCAGCCCTTGCATTTGACACCAGCCAGTCCCCCCTTGTAACACCAGCTCGCCTAGAAGTACCAAAGGCAGCCGGTATATGAACTCGACCGGGTATAGGGCGGTCAGGTCTGGTTCGACCTCATCCTCGCTGGTTGCTTTGTGTTTTCGTCGAGCACTGAGTCGTGTACTCGGTCCCGTCCTGGGTCCTGGTTTTGTTTCCCTGAGGCCGGACGAGAGACCGGTCCACAGGCCGAGGGAGCAACAGACGCCTTTAAATATTCGCGTGTTTGAGACCAGGTAGTAGCTGGTCAACAGATACAGGAAGTGCAGCACGATGAACCCGAGTGTCGAGTAGACCAGGGACACGTTTGTGATGAGTTGGAACATGGTGACACCAGAGTCCTCGAACATAACGCCATCCGCCACTGTCAGTCCCACCACCGCTAGCGATAACCCGTACAATGCTTCTAACCCAAGTGCCTGCATGTAGTGGAATCGGAATCGTTGTAGTAGACCCTCAACAATTATCAGGCGCAGTGTGTACACCGCCCCTGCAGCGAGGCCGAGCAATAAAGCGAAAAGAATAGTGTCAATCAACAAGAAGCTTTCGTTGCTCAATGTAGGCTGTCCTAGTCCGTCAATTATCTGAACGGCATCCGCTAGAACTTTTTGTCCAGCTCCACCACCGATTGCCCCTCCCAGATCTGGACCCAAACCCAAGTCTGAACCCAGACTCGGACTTGTGTTTCCGGCCACTGTTTCCCCCCTTGTTTGCTTCCCGTTCAACAGTTGAGTGTTTGGTGCTGCTCTGGCACCAGGGTTGAAGGCGCCGGGGGTGAAGGCGCTAGGGGTGAAGGCGGCCGTCAGTTGAAGGACGCGTTCGATTTGCGCCCAGGCGATGAAGACGGCAGCAAGGAGGAGCAGCGCAAACGAAACGTAGTCGGATCGTTGAAGCCGTCTTTGACCGAGACAGGCTGTAAAGATGCGGTAGGCTACGTAGCCGAAGGCGAAGACGGCGAGCACGGAAGAAAGGGGCAGAGTACCAAGGGCAATGTAGAGCATCGTGAGGGCGACGACTTCCAGTGCTCCAGGAATTGCGAAAAACATGTAGCTCCAGACGGGCGGGTGTGTGTGCAACTCGCCAAAGGCGTCCGTCACGCCATCCATGGGCGCACTGCTTTGTACCGGATGCACCACCCGCTCCGTCAACCACCAGGACAAGCAGCCTAACTGCGCGATCAATGTCACTGCCGCCTGCCACAACGGTGCCTGGAACGATGCCGTTTTGCACTGCTGATTAAACACATCCGCGCACCGACGGGTAGCCACCTGCGATTGCGACTTCACCAACAACAATGCCAACGAACCCACCCCTGCCAGCCGCCATTGCTGCCAGTTCGTCTCCATCAATTTTAGCCGACAAATTTTCCTCACTCTTGGGACAACCTTGGGACCCAGTTTCTTCACAACATTGGGACCCAGCTTCTTCGCGCAGGGCACAAGACTGGGACCAAGACCCAGACAGACAGACAGACAGACGCACCGCAGTGAGAAACAGTGAATTTATCAATACGCGAGAAAACTAAAACCGGAGACCAAAGGACGTGGTACGCAATGGAAGCTCTGGTCCTCGGCAGCTTAGTCATCAACGGGATCTACGTAACGGTCGTCGCGGCCTCCGCATTGGGCGGTCTTTACCCCAATAATATCTGCGGATTGAAACGTGTTATCGCCAAAGCCACACACCGGAACGAGATACCCATAGACCTCTGGGAATATGCACACCAGGCTGCAGTCCCCGCGGCCGTCTGGTTTAGCATGATCTCCTCCGCCCTAGCCATCACCTCAACTGCATGTACGGTCAATTACTTGAGATTCATCTTATGCGGGGCTTCCTTTTCTGTACTAGCCACAGGTACCCTTTGCACTACCCAGACCTGACCCGACACCCTTAATCGCTTAACAACCTAAGACCTAATACTGGGACTGGATAGCCAGACTTACCGCATGCTGGGTTCATTCACACAGCTGGGTTCACATGGTCCAGTAATAGTCGGTTGTTCAGGCGCAGGAGTGTGTACGTATGAGGTCTACAAGAGAGCAGCGGCTACAGGAGATGGGAGGTTTATGCTGAGGGAAGAGACGTCGCCCACGGGTCACTCGCCTCTTGGCCAGTCCCTGGAGCGAAGCAGCATTGCGGTCCGGGAACCGGGGAGCAGCCGAAAGATCAATATCAATGGCAATATAAAGACTCTACCAGAGCCATAGACAGAGCTAACGTCGGTTTCTGGAGTCGGGGTCAAGCGCCAGAGTCAAAGCTAGTTAGATAGTCTTGCCCTCTCTCCGGATCAGGTTCAGGACGGATAGAGGGTTCCAATTACTCTTTCCTAAGTACCCGTACAGGTTCAGGACCATCGCCACATGGTGATGACAATTTTGACTACAGCCAAGAACGTTCAAGTGACCGTGGTGAATACTCACAGGAAGAATGAATACTACAGAAGAGATGGTTTATCCATCGCAGGTCCCAGGTCGGGCCGCAAACGAAAGGCAACAAAAAGGGGAGTGGCCGCAAAAAGGGGAGTGGCCGCAATCTGGGGTTGGTGGTTGCGGTCAGGGGCGAAATTCACACCGTGCCGTTTGGGGTGAAGGTGCCAGTCAGGGTGAATCATTAATGTGTGCAACAAACTCACATCGTTGGATCGGTAGTACATGTTGGTTGCTTCGATGGCTTTATCCCAGCGGACGGTATCGTCTACGTCTAGCTGAACCATCTTTACGACCGGGCCGCAAAATAAGCGGCCCATTCCCACGGTCTAAGCAGCAGCAGCAACCAAATGAGTTACATCACAGACAAAGTAGAAAAGGTGAACCGTGAACTGCCGATATGTACCAGCGTTGGCGACATGTACTAGTGTTTGCAAACATGGTAGTCTAGTGCGTCGGGCTTCTTACTCTGCCTCCAGCCGCGTCGTAAATGACGCCCTCGGAGTCGGTGATGCCCGCGTGGCCGATGACACGTGTGGCGAAGGTCAAGCCTGGAATGGGGGTCCAGACAATGGCCAGAGGGAACTAAAGGGGGAGCGGTAGCGAACGTATACTCACCCACTCGGAGGTCGTAATTATTCGTCCCCATATTTATTGCAGATGACACGATCGGTAAATACCTGAGCACTTCTTGTCACTATATAGTTTCATCCATGTTTTAGACATCGGAGGATGTGGGTTCGATTCCATGGATGACCTCGGTGTTGGCAAAGTTGCGGAAGCATATGGATGCAGCGCCGTTTCTGAAGCCCGTAGATTGGAAGCGTATGGGCTTGGACGACTACCCCGACATCATTAAGCAGCCAATGGATCTCCAGACGGTGGGCCGTCGAGTACGGGACGGCTTTTATGCAGAATCGCCCCAGGGTTTCCGAAAGGACCTGCTGCTGATTTGGGGCAACTGCAGGACTTATAACGGTGAGACCAGCGACATAGCGGGCATGGCAGACCGCATGCAAGAGTACACTGAGCAACTGCTTGGCTCGGCGGTCGGCGGTTCGGCAATGTCGGCTGCCCGTACGGAGATCAAGGGAGAAGAAGAGGAACCCAAGAGCAAGAGACGACGGCGATCCGAAGGGTCGGAAACCCCACAACCGGGTGCCAAAAGGGGTCGGCCGCCTCTCAAAAAACGTGAAAACAATGACCCGCCTTCAGCCGCAGGTCAGTCTGCAGGTATGCAACAACTACCCAACGGAGCGGCGGCGAATGGCACGCAACAAGTTAGTGGAACACAACAGGTTGGTGGAACGCAACAGGTTGGTGGAACACAACAGGTTACTGGAACGCAACAGGTTAGTGGAACGCAACAGGTTAGTGGAACGCAACAGGTTAGTGGAACACAACAACTCAGTGGAATTCAACTCAATAATGGGACCCAGGAGACGGCGGCCCGAGCCGTGGACGGTGATGTGGCCCTTGCTGGTAGCAGCCTGAGTGTCAGCGGCGGCCTCAGTGCTGCAGGCAAGCAGACTCCCACATCAAACGTTGTTTCCAACGGGATGTCGGGTGGAATATCCAACACGGTCGGCCAGATGTCAGCCAGATCCAATGTAAGTCTTATCAACGGACTGGAACCGGGTGCTAGCTTAGAGTCATTGGATAGTTTGCCGGTAGCCAGGCAACATCTTCTGCAAAAGTTTGCGGAAAGATTGGTAAGGCTCAATCCAACCAATATGTGGTCCGTCTTAAATCTATTAATGAAGGACAAAGATGACAGCAGCACTGTGAACCGACTATCTCGGAACGAAGTGGAGGTCAACGTGGCCGCTCTGGACGACAATGAACTACAAATGCTCACAAGGTAATTAATTCACCTCCCCCCGGTCGTTGTACTTATCGTATTTGGCTTGTTCACGAAACCACCTCATCTATTCCCTACAAACTGTGTGATCCTTCTTCGTCTGATCCTTCTTGTTCCCGCTGTATCGTGTTCCCAGCTCGTCTGATCCTCGTCCGGTTTGTTTAGCGTTTGTAAATGTTTACTTTATCACCAGACAATGGCATGCTGACTTGTTGCAAGAAACACTGGATTGTGCTTGGGTTCGATACTTGGGTTCGAAACTTGGGTTCGAAACTTGGGTTCGAAACCTGGGTTCGAAACTTGGGTTCGAAGCCCCCGGTTCAGAGCATGGATTCGGATCTGGGTTCGAAACTTGGGTTCAAAGCTTAGTGGTGGGGGAGCTTGGTTGTTTTTCTATCTGAGGAAAAAAATGGCGAATCCATGGCACGACGTCGATATTGGTTCGAATTCTCCTCATGAGTTTGATGTAGTGATTGAAATACCGAAAGGATCTAAGGTTAAGTATGAGTTGGACAAGAAATCTGGTTGCATGAGAGTGGATCGAGTGTTATATTCATCAGTTGTTTATCCGGCGAATTACGGGTTTATTCCTCAGACATTAGGACAGGATAATGACCCTTTAGATGTGTTGGTATTGATGCAAGAGCCAGTTTATCCTAGTTCGATTATGAAGGTTAAGCCTATAGGTGTTATGCATATGGTGGATCAAGGGGCGCCGGATGAAAAGATTATTTGCGTTTTCTTAGATGATCCAGCTTACTCGCATTACAACACGGTGCAGGAACTTCCACCTCATACTTTACGCGAGATCGAACGGTTCTTTCGTGACTATAAGAAATTAGAGTGCAAAAATGTTAAAACGCAAGGCATGGAAGGCCCTTTGGAAGCTAAAGAAAGCATTCTAGATGGTGTGCAGCGCTACAAGGAAATGCGGAAACTCAAGGCTCATGAGGCCATAGATGCACAACTTGATTATAGTTAGTACTATTTTTTTATGGAATTTATAGGCAAGGCGATCGCGTCTGTTGATAGATACTTCGAATCCCAAGCTACAACCTCAGACCCACAACAGTTCTCCGAGAAACTCTTTTACAACATCGGGCGAGCATATACTTATGGTAATACTTGCATGAATTTCGAAATTGGGACTTGTTCGTATAAAAATTAAACAGCACACACGCGTGCTCCCCACATATGCGCTACAAACACGCCCACCTGTAATTTGGCCATGTCTGTTAGGCTTGATATTTGGATCAGTGAAGGGCCTATTGAGTCAGCCGAAGCGGCTTTTATCGTACGCCGGAGGCAAGTCGGTGGTTATAAGTCAAAAATTCCCGGACGAGTGCCGACACTCGGTCAAGCTTGATTCCATCTCGGAGAACGCCTGGAGAAACAGCGTAACGTTCGCCAAAGCGGGGTTTTACTATGTTCCTTTGGAGCTGTATGTAAGGCGCCTGACTCCAGACGTTGTCCAGCCATTTAGTCGCGATATCGCCTGGGGTCTGGCTTGGGCCGCATGCCGGCGGTCGGCCACTCTAAAGTCTCGCGTCGCCTTGGGGCTACTGACTGGCACCGGCCATTACGTAATCCGAGAGCACGGAGAGGATATTGTGATGAGTCTTCAAGAAGGTAGCCGATGGGCCGGACTAATCCGGGACCCTTGGCGAGAACGCCTAGCTTCAACTTGGATGGGTAGACGGGCAGGATTTGTTTCGACGCAGATAAAGGACGTCAGTGACACCGTAAACGATCAGCTCTTGGCCTGACCCCTTTTAGGAGGCCGCACGTCCAATGGACGACTGTTTTTGGCAAGTGAGAGGGAGGCGAATAAGCGCCGGAGCGGATCGAATCCAAGGGAGGGGGAACATAGTCCCCTCCAACCAAGAAAGGGGGTACATAGCTTTGTCTCTTCCAGAAATCAACCCCGTAGAGTGAGCACAGGCCCCCAGCGAGGGGGGGGGGGG